AGACGGCGTCATTTGGTGTCTTACAGTGGAATCCTGGATGCCCATTTCGTCTCACTAAGTACTCATCAGTTGGATGTGGTCTCCAGTGATTGATTGTATTCTTACTGAGACCGAAATGTTCTGTTTATTATAACCAGTCAGTGAGGATTACAAAATGAACTTAAACAAATAAAACAATGAGATAGTTTAGAGATTTATCTCTTAAAAAACTGAATAATTCTCGAATTTCATCGTTTTCCCTTCTATACCACAAATATAAATGAGTTTCATATAAATAGTCTCCAATGTCAGTAATCCTTTAGGGTGGAACTTAGCTATAAACACTTTTGAATAGTAATCTAATATGTAGACTTTGGACAATATTTACTACACTTCTGCTCAGGTAAACCCAAAAGATAATAAGTACTGCCTCGTCTATTTATAGAAAAAATTAATACATACAGGAATTATTTGATTTTTTAAACATCGACTGCCAAAAAATCCAATGGTTTGGGAATCTTTATTGAGACTTTAATTCATCTCATCCGTTTGTTGTCTGTCTGTGAAGGCAGGCTTAGTTAAGTGTCTAACAAACCGAACAACACTACTAAGTAGTACAACAAAAAAACTAAAGGATGAAATGAAACACATAGAAGAAGCGTTGGTGTTAAATAACTATCCTATAAAATTCATTAGGAAGATCAGAAAAGGTCAAAATGAAAATAATGGTGGAAGTGATAATGATAACATAAATGAGAGAATATAAGGCATCTACTTCTATACCACATAAGGAGGATTCTTAACAAAGCAGGAATTAGAGTGGCATTTAAACCTACAAACTCACTCAGGGACAAGTTCTGTAGGTTAAAGGACCCAGATGACCCAATTAGACAAAATAATATAATCTACGAAATACCTTGCAATGAGTGTGAGTTACGTCAGCTACATAGGTCAAACTAGTAGATCAGGGATAGTCAGAGTGTCGGAACATATAAATTTAGCTAAGGTTAGAATGATTGATCCCATGAAGATAAGTAATGTAGAAAAAAGCTCAGCGATTGCACTGCATGCATTGATACACAATCACACAATAGAGTGGGCGGGGGTTAAAATCCTAAAATGTGATATCGATAGATTGAGAGGGAGAGAGAGACTGATTACTGAATCCTGCCTGGTTCATGGAGTCTACGCCCAACACGTGCAATAGGAATGACTGATCACCCATACCGGAAATATGGAAAACATTACTACCAATTAGACCAAGAGATGAAAAATAATGGTATCATATGAAAGAAGTTATTTGGTGGATGGTGACTAACAGTGGAATCCAGGATGTGCATTTCGTCCTATTTGGGACTCATCACCTGGATGTGCCCACATTCCGCGGTTAGTGATGATGATCCAACCGAGGCTCGAACCCAGTACCCATAGTTTCAAACGCCAAAGCGTTATCTACTGGACCACTTGGGCCATGAGAGCCACCTCTTGTGCAACAGGTGAGAACATCATCACTCACCGCGGAATACTGGTACATCCAGCAGACGAGTCCCAGATAGGAAGAAATGAGCATATTGGATTCCACTGCTAGTCACCATCCACCATCTAATTACATGCCCAGACATCGTCTAAGCATTTGCACAAGAAGCCGACATGTCAACCTGAGACCGAGCACTTCGGTCCAATCAATCGACTGGAAAACCTAAAATTGAATTAGATAACAAATGAACGAAGTTAGAAAGTTATGTAAATAACTTGATATGATCATGGGCAATAAACTGTGCTCGAAACATGGTCATCAGTAAATGTTGCTGTATGACACTGTGAAACTTCATCAAACAAATTTTACCCACAATGGAATCAGTGTATACGTTCGGTGAATAAGTCTTTAGGTGCTCAGATCCGGAAATGTCTCCTCTTCATAAAATCAAAAATTATTTGAGCTCAAATTCACAATTTACAAATTAATTCACGACTTGAAGTTTACACAATTCCAGGAGGTAGAATTTTACTACAATTTCCTTTCGGAATCCGAAGTTATTCAGTGGTATACCAACTACCCATCTCAGTAAAGCAGTAGTATGTATTGTTGTACAACTATGCCATCAAGCAGATCACCTGCATTGTGACTCGAATAATTCCGATTTCCAGGGGAATCTGTGATAAAAATGACACTCGTAGAACTTTGTGTATTGCAAAATGGGATTTTGATTTAAGGCATCAGTAGTTTGCCCAAGTAGCCAATCAAAAATTCGGTGATTTGGTCGTGATCAGCTCTCTGACCTGAATCAAACCGGGTACACAGCCGAAAAGCTCGCCCCCAAACAAATGAAACGGCTATTCGGTGTTTAGAGCACTCCATAAACTACTGATTGATTTGAGCGGTATCCAACTACTCACATCAATAAATCAGTAGTACATAGTGTCATAAAATTATTTTACTTGTGAAATAAATATTCTTTCTTACATCTAAAGTATTGTCTCCTATGTGTTGTTTCGTTAGATTTACATTGGTAACTCACTAAACACACGATGATGATGATATAATTTAATTTAAACAATTTATTGAAAGTTTCTTATCCTAATTCTGCTACGTTAAAACTTTTTGCCGTCTATGAACACTTCTTCGTACTCTGAAGTACATTAAAACTTCTCGTATATGCATATATGAAAGCCTATTTTGATGATACGTTTACTCTACAGACAATTTTACGGCAGTTGACTACAAATTTCTAAGTATTATCATGGGAAATTTCCGGATGTCGATTGTTATTATCATTATTATTATTTTAGGTATCGCGTAAAATTTAAAACTTGATTTCTCAGTATAATTTTATGCTCAGTGTCCAGACACCTTTATTGCGGGTTAAAATGTTTGAATATATTTCAAGTCCTTTGACAATTTAACCATTTTGAAGAATCGTATTTTCATATTTTTGTACGAAAATTTGAAACTAATCTCATTTACATAGCGTTATAAGTGCTTGACACTCATTTCGTTTATTTCTTATGATATGCAAATTAAAGGTAGATTGATTTATGCTCATCCAGATGGAAGGAATAGGATTTTAACAGTTAAGAAATGCACTTATAAGTCAATATAGACATAGCCTTCATGTAAGAGCTATTATGCCTTAAATTCTAGTTAAAGTATTCAAGAGAAGTTCTATTTCTGTGGGATTGTTTAGGATATAGTATAGATTTTTTTTCACTACTGTATACGAATGGTGACTAAAAAGTTAGAAAAGTTAGAAATAACGTATTTATTATAGGAGGAATGTTTCAGAGGGCATTCTCACTCAACAGCTACAGGGTGATGCCAAAAAAAATGAAAAAGTCAACGATGCCTTTGGAGTGAAAACACAAAGCTGCCTACTATCGACAGTGATATTCCTAACTATGGCAGACCGTAGGGAGTGAAAAGACACGATTACGTTAGATAGATAGGAAGAAGATTTGGACACCGCGGACAATTTCTACCTGACGTTACATAAATTCGAGGACCTACAGATAAAAACCGATAGGTTGTTAAAAAAGCAGCAAAGACAAGACCTCAAATGAGCACAGAAAAGACAGAGGTAATGAAGATACCCGATCACCACCAACAACAGGCACTAGTTACTATCAGCGGAAGACATCAGGAAGATGTCACTCCCTTCCCTTATCTAGGCAGCAGCATTTCAACTACAAGAGGTTGCACATACGAGGATGTCAAAGCCAAAGCAGACAAAGATGGTTCAGACACAGGCTGAAGAGACCTCTGGGTGTCATTAAGCAACAGGAACTGCTTCGAGTGGAACTCAATTGGGAAATGGGTCGGAGGGTAACATGGAAGAGATTGTGTGAGGATGAAATGAAAGTCTGTATTGAATTGCGTGGCCAGTTTTGAAGAACTCTAGGGAACATGATGAAGTGGACATGTACTGCTGAAGCCCATTGTTCCACTGTGAACCCAAAGAAATGATGATAATAATAGCGAATCAAAAAATTTAGCACTAAAGCAATTTCTCTATAGGAAGTCTGCGATCCAAAACCGAATTAGGACCAGTTTGGCGTTGTGCATTTTTGATGGTTTTCATAAAATATGTTTCCATATTGTTAATAAAGCACAATGCTGACAGTAAGGGCTTTGAATCATAAATAATAACAGTGTAGTGTGATATGAATTCATCTCGTTTAATGTTTTTTATATCTCATATGTTATTTCAGTGTGTTAGTCTCTAACTAATGTTAACCAATCGTCACAAGCAGCAGCAATACACTGTTTATTTGATATCTGTACAATTTAGAATGTTTATTAAGCCCTATGTCTGCTTCAGGAGTCTTTATAAACTAACTCTCTAATATGTTCAACAGTAAAAAACCCAAATAATTCTCAAAGCGTAGGCAAAAATGAAGTTTAAATCTCCAATTTTGTTAAGTACGTTGCTCCCCCTCTTGAAAATTCTCTTGAAGCCATCAGATATTAATTAATCTCTTCAGGTTTTCAAATTTCTGAAAAGACAGAAGTGTATTTCATGAAGTTTCGAAAATAAAGCAACATTATTTCTCAAATGGAATGAAACCTTGTCGCACTGGCTTAAAAATAGCGTCGACATTATTTTATCGGTATAAGAAAAGAAGTGAACTGAGCATAAGAAATAACTGATATTAACTGTTATATTTTTCCCACGAACCAAAATCAGTTAGGGAGGTCCCTGAAAATTAGCTGGGAGCAATGGACAGCTGTTTCGTCCTGTTTTGAGGCCCTTCATCAGCTCTACGACCCCACCACGGAACTCCAGGTTTCAAGACCAAGCTCACTGAACATTCCGCTACTTGGGTTGGAATTCGGTGAACTGTGAATTCTTACTTTGTCGACTTGTAGTAGTACTTGTACCCCATGGGTCCACTCCCTGGAGAGTCCCAAAAGAGGATGAAACAGCTGTGTAGTAATCCCAGCTGGTTTTCAATGATCTGTCTAACTGATTTTGGCTCGTCAGGAAAATCTAACAGTTTAATAAATGTATATAATATGAACTTACCTGTTCTGAATTATTATCTGATGGGCAGGTTGTAATAAAATTTACTTTATGGTTTCGATTTGACATTGGACTGAAAGCCATTGGTAGGGTATTCATAAGCTCAGTATTTGGATATTTTACTGGTTGAGTTAAAATATAAGTTTTGCTTTTATTATTTAGCGTATTCTCATCAACTTTGGATAACGTTACAGTCATATCTACAAGTTACAAAACAAAAGAAAAGTTCGATTGATACTATTTGAAAAATATCACAATAAAACTTATCTAGATAAAAGAGAACACGGAGTGGTTGAAAAAACAGTTGGGAATGTTTAAAATTAAGACCACTTCACTAGAACTATCGAATAATAATTAGTTTAATATCAAACTTAACACTGATTTCAATACTTAAGTGATGCGTGAAGATTCTTTGAAAGCCTAGATTTTGGAAAAATTTAAACCACTAGACATTGGATTATAAACACTCAGCTACAATGATTAGCTTATTTGAAACCATTATTTTAGGATTATATTAAAGTCGAAATAAACAAGGGTTGGTTTGCGGGGATTAGACTGGTTACAAGTCTGGCCACAAGCTGACATTATTTAGAAAACCACTCAAAATGAGGAAAGAGTGTTGGACATTTTTGGGCTCTTCAACACTATGCACTCACCAGCGTTCGAACCAAAGACCTGGTTACAAGACAAGCACAGCCACTCGACGTGATGGTCCATGAATTCCAGATTCTGCTGTCGGTCGGGGTAGATATCAAGAATGAGCAAACGTTGGAGATTATGTGCACTGGATTGGGTCCCAGTGGCCGAATGATCTACTATCTCTCTATATGACCGGAACGTCTTGTGTTCAAACCACGACAGGTGCGTGTCGCTGATGAGTCCCAAACCGGGGCGAAACAGCTATTCACTACTCCGTGGTTTTTCACTTGTTCGCCAACTGATGTCAGCTCATGATAAAACTTTAACTGACAGTTAATTTGACCTGCTTAAATGCCGTTTTATCAGTTGCATCTCAAGGCTTTGTGTCTCATAACACTTATTCCTATTCTTATTTCCAGCCTGCTCATAATAATGGGAGTATTTTAAAACCTTTTACAGTTTTGCTGAGTGTGATGTAAAGAACATGCATGTGCTTGAGCGCGTAACTTTGTTGTTGTGTGATGTTGGATTGATGACAATAACGTGTTGTTTAACTATAGCCATTTTTTTTTGTTTGAATGAATTCAAATTCAGGACTCAGAGTGAATGCTTAACCTTGAACATCCTGAGGGGAACTTATTATGTCCTACTTAATTCTTGCAGACAAAATTTTAATCTAATTATGTTGGGAATATTCTCACTGATTCTCACTAATTATTTTTTATCCCTGACAAACGTTCTGACTGTATCCCAGCTGGACAGCAGTGTTGATATAGTTTTATATTTCTCACATTATTGTTGAATAAAACGACAGATTTTGATCACGTTAAATCGTGTTTTAATATTGCAGAAAGTGTAATTTTTGGCCCTGCGTCACTTGCAGAAGTTTGTCTAGCTATCCAGAGAAACGCAACGATCACCACCCCCTTCAAGACGTTCAAATCGAAACACTTGAGTTTCTGGCATTACGGAGGTATTCATCGATAAGATTCTTGACATTTCTGTTAACGGATCGGTTTTTAGTGAGTTTATAAATTTTACATGTCTTTTATTATGCAAACCATTAAATAAACATTTTCCAAGTCTGCCTGTTTTGACTAACTCCGGTTTCTCACTTTTTCAAAAGATATTTCTGCAAAAAGCATATCACGAATAGCTAATTTACAACTGCTGTTCAACAGTACACAAACGAGTTAGGAATCAGTTGATAAATCATGCCGTTTTGTTTTGAAGGTATATAATTCATCTCGGTGAGTAAAATTGATGGGATACAATATTATCCATGAAAAGGCGTTACATGAAAGTGAATCTTATGGCGGCCTTCTTAAAACATGAGCTACCAAAATACTCCTATCTTTATATTGCATTTCTAATGTTCACATTGTTTTAATCCACTAAAATACGACCTCTAATGGTTCTATTTACTCTCGCGATTATTTAAAATGTTTACAACCTTCTGATTCACAAGTTTATATTAAGCTTAAGAAGAAGCCTAATCGTGGGTTTCAACATGTCTCACTATATCAGATGAGTGTTCCTGAGATTTATATTACAAACTGCCGCTGCCTGGGAAATAAAACAAACTATCTGCAGTCTCCAATCGTTCATTTATGATCTTGGCTATCAAAATGTACTCCTGAACTTATTTTAAATTTGTTTTCATCCTCAAAATGTAGTGTAATTCTCAAAGGAGATAAAGAAGAAATACCATATGGGATTGGTTGGCGCTTTATGCCAGACAACATTGTGTCACGCGACCTACTGGGAATTACTACTTTACTTGAAAATTGTTGACGAAGAGAAACTGTTGTGCAATAAATTCTGCTGAGAATGTTGCACATTAGATTAACACTGTCCAGAATAAAACTGATTCCGTTTTCATTATTATTACAATAATAAGAGAAATAACGAAAAACACCAAAACATGAGGGAAGCAACAAAAAACAGGTCGAATGCAAACAGGCTGGTAATAATCCCGATAGGCTGAATGATTAAAGGTGAGCCGTCTAATCTTCAACATGATCTGTGAGTAAATAAGGGCCTCTACTTCTTTAGTTCTGTGTTGCAATGGATAATAAAGTTGCTTAAACATTTGAAATAGCTACAGACTAGTTACACGAAAGAGTTCACATGTCTGCTTTTTTCTGAAATGGTGGTTAGATAGGAAAATAGCTGACACCTGAACATCTCAAAGAATTGTTAACTGAAGACGTCTTCATTAGCCATCGTTTATAGATACTCGAAAAAACTCAAATTTAAAATAGGATCATCAGTAGTCCTCATATAAATATGTTAGTGATCAGTGATTGAAGTAAAGGGCTTCATGCTATCGTTTTGACTCCTGTAAATTATTCCGTTAATGTGTTAATTCGCTTGAAACTTTCACGAATTAGTTAGTGTATTCATGATCAACTTGTAGGTTGTCAATTTTGTTTCACTATTTTTATGAAGAAGAAACGAGTTTGTGGAATTGTAGTCAAGTAGAAAGCAACACCCATGTAATCTTTCAAGAACTGTATGCTAGAAATCAGATATAACACATACGCCGAGAGCTAAATGCATCTGAAACTGGCCTGTTGTTTGGAAAATGATTGGTGTTTTTGTTCCAGTTAAACGTATGGATAAAACTATCGTTACAACAAATGAAAATATTTCTTTCCCATAGTAAATTTAAAACAAAAAACAGTTGTGAGTGAAGAAGTATTTTATGAATTCCTCAATTTCGGTAGGAGGACTCGTCATCTGAATCCTGTGTAAACATTGTAATTTATATAATTTTTAAGGTTAAATGTATACAAACACATGAATATTGTGACAGCAAATAAGTATCAACCTGAACAAATATACGATGTATACGTTTTGTGAATGATAATCTGTTAACATCATCATTAGGTGAATAATAGCAAAGTATGTAATAACATACAAACTGGTGTTACTGTAGTAGTACAATACAACAATACAATCAGAAACATCTAAATATGATAATAATAATAATACTGAAATACTAGGACCCTTCTTAAGAACAAATAAATAAATTTAACATATTTAATTCAATTTTAGATTTTCCTGTCGATTGATTGGACCAAAGTGTTCGGTCTCATGTAACTTGAAGTCAGCTGGTGGATGGTGACTAGCAGTGGAGTCCAGGATGCTCATTTCGTCCTCTTTGAGACTCGTCACTGGATGTACCTGCATTCCTCAGTGAGTGATGATGTTCCCACCGAGCCTCGAATCCAGTGCCCATAGTTTCAAACGCCAAAGCGTTGTCCACTAGACCACTTGGACCACAAGAGCCACCTCTTGTGCTACGGGTCACATTATTTATTTGATTCAACTTCTATTTACAAACATCGTCGAAGCATCTGCACAAGAAGCCGATATGTCAACTTGAGACCGAGAACTTCGTTCCAGTCAATTGACAAGAAAATCTAAAATTGAATTAAATAAATAATATGAGCCGTTGCACAAAAGCTGGCCCTCGTGGAAAATGATCAGTCCCAAATAAGAAAAAACGCGCATATTGGATTCCACTACTAGTCACCATCCACCAATCGACTTCTAAATTTAACATATGTAAATTATTTCTACACTGCCTAGTTAAGAGGAGGGAAAACGGATATGTTAATACATCTCTATTCAGGAAGAAAACCAAATACAACAAATATTTAAACTTAGGTTCATCACACCCTATCAGCGCAAAGGTATTAGTTGTTTCAAGTCTTCTTAGACGAGCACACTATTTGGTGGTAATGGATGAGAAAGAAAAAGAAGAAATATCAAACATTACTGAAACTCTCTAACAAAACAACTACCGAACGAACTTCATCAACGAAATCAACACCGACATTAAGAATGGTCGAAAACGTATTCCGAAAACATGGACCTCAACAGTTTTCATTCTATATAGAGCAGAGACAATATCAGAAGAGTACTCAATAAGCTCGATATCAGAGTTTTCTTCAAAACATCAGAAATACTGTGAAACAACCTTGTCCATATAAAAGAACAAATCCTTAGAGATTCTCTATCTAATTGTGTCTACAAAATAAAATGCTTGGAATGTGATGCGATATACTACATCGGACAAACATCGTGAGGAATCAAAATCAGAAGAAATGAACACCGTACAGCCGCCTCTGTTCGACCACCGAGAAATCTAGTTGAACTAAAAGAGCTTGAAAAATCATCAGCCATAGGTCTACACTCCTCAGAATCAGGCCAGAAAATTGATTTTGACAGTGATGAAATAAACCAGAAAAATTTCAGGAAGCACAAAGAACGTCTAATATCAGACGCACTGCATGTCAAGTGGGATCCAAATTGTCTGAAGAGGAATGATGAACTGAAACAGAATTTGACCTGGTTACAACACCCCCTCCTCCATGAAATGACGAAATCAACACGAATGCGGCAAACAATTTCACTATACAAACACACGCTGCTTTTCTAATTTTATACACTTATCAAACCTAACAATCTACACCAGGTGCTGTAAAGTTTGTTTTGGTACCAGTGTAGGTGTACTATTACCTCTCTTATTTCGTTCAGCGATCTTCATTTT